GAGCACCTTATCTGAGCACCCGCCTGCCAGCCACCACGTTTTCTGTCTCGCAGGCCCTGGCCAACAAGTTGTGGTTTGGACTCGAGCTGGATGCTGCTATTCAGGCCCCGATCCTCTTTGCCACCCGGAACGGCTCCCTTGAGGTCGAGAAGACCTTCCGCCAGGTGAGCTGTTGCTCTGTCTTCTGGGGCCCGGATGGGGCCGAGACCCTGGGGAGACGCGAGTCCTCTTGAGGGAAGCCATCGCCCTGGTCCTCCTTCCTTCTCTCCTCCCCCTAACAGAGCTTGGGGGTCCATTGGGGTGAAGAGATGCCCTTTGCTGGGAGTCCAGGCAGGCAGGGCCGGAGGGAGCAGAACTCCTTCTTCAGACACCGTTCCCAAGCAGGAAAGGGTGCTGGCGGGAGCCAGGTCAACGGGCCGAGGTTGCGGGTCTACCCACAACTGTTGTGGCTACCCACAACTGAAAGGAAGAGCCTTGTTAGGGGCCTGGGTGGCAACCAGATTGATTCGGAAGCTGCTTTTTTCCAGCAGGCCTCATGTCCTGCCCCATCTTGGGAGGTTGGCGGTGTTTTTGTGTCCTCCCCGCTGCCCATGCTTTCCAGTGCAACAGCCGCTGCCACCAGGAGCTGTGGAGCAAGAAGGCTCAGGAGTGGTGGTGGCGCTGCTGGCACTCTACCCTTTGCCTGGGTCCCCGTGTCAGGGTGGGGCCAGACCAGGTGTCTGGCCTTCAGGGCACAAGGGCTGCCTTCTCTGACAGGAGAGCCAGGCAGCTGCCCTCTCCTGGGCCTCCCTCATCAGCCAGAGCAGCTCAAGGCGTCCTCCCACCCCACCCCTTCCCCATAGAGCCCCTCCTTTCCTCTCGGCTCCTCTAGGGCGAAGCCAGCCCTCCTCCCTCCCTGGCCCTGTGCCTGCCCCTAGCGGCACCCCGCCTCCTAGGTCTGAGGGGGCTGCCTCGCCACCAAGCTGTCATAGAGCAGCCCTCCTCCTCCTCCTCCACCACCCTCTCACCCCATGGCTGTGCCAGCCCAGAATCCCCCCACCCCCAGAGCCACCTTTCCTTCTTGCACTCTGCTCTCTTCTCACAGGACGTCGTGAAGGAGTTGCGTGAAAGGGGGCAGACGGTCAGCAGAGCAAGGATGCCCCTTAACGTTGTCCAAGGGGTCTCTCAGGAGGGGCCCTGCCTCTTTCCGTACGCGGATCTCAGGAAGAAGGGCGAAGCGTCGGGCTATTAGCCCCGTGGCCATCGTCCCTGGGGATCAAAGGAAGAAGGCAGGTGGGCAGCCCGTCAGTGCCCCCCCCCGCCCATCCCAGAGGGCCTCTGACAGCCTTCTGAGACTGTGCACCACTTCTGCAGAAAAGCCCAGCTCAGCAATGAACATCCAGACCTCCCCTTTTTCACCAAGACTTTTCTCCTGGCTGCAGCGGAACTGGGTTGGGGCACAGACGTATCTTTTTGGGGGGCAGGAGCAGCTGTGGTGGGGCTGAAGAAGGGAGACTGAGGATCATCCTCATGCAATGGTCTCTCAGAGCTGGGAGACTGTGTGTGTGTGTGTGTGTGTGTGTGTGTGTGTGTTGTGTGTGTTTGTGTGTGTGTGTGTTTGCAAGCCTCAGATCCTTCAGTCTTGGCTGTGTGTTGAGGGTGTGTGGATGCCGGTGCAGCGCTCCAAGGGAAGGAGCGGCCCGCGAGCACCTGCGTGTTGTTCCGCTGCGTCCTTCAGTGTCAAGGAAGGGAGCTGACCTTCAATCCGGGGTTGCTGCCTTGTGTGAAAACCGCCACTGCTGGAAAGACTCTGAAAGGGAGCCTGTGTCTGCCAAGCCTGGACCACAAATGCTGTATGGGGATTCTGGGAACTGTAGTCCAAAACTTCACTTTCCCAAGATGTTTGGAACGGCCCTGGTGAGCCAGTCTCAACGGGACGCCCCTTCTTCTTCTTCTTCAGAAAAATCTGCATGAAGCGTGGAGCAGAGGCTGGAGGGCAGTCCTGCCAATCCATCGCAGGTCGAGGCAGGCGGTCCACCACTGGCCTGCAAGGACTCTGCAGGAAGGAAGGGTCCGCAGACGGCATGGACCCTCTGGCCTCTGAGGTCCTGCAGGGCAAGGGGATCCGGCCAAGAGGCTGAAGTCAGAAACGGAGCCCAATCCCAGGCCACGAGAGGCCCTGCCTGGGATCCTGCTTCACCGGTGAGGTGAAGAGCAGCCGCCCGCTTCCCAGTCCTTCGGCCTCTGGCCCGAGGCTCTCCCACCCGATCCCATAAAATGTGAATCTCTCCCAAGAACCAAAGGCCCTGGGCTGCGACCGAGCGACGGCCCTTTGCGATGCCACAGATTCCATGCTCCCAAGAACCAAAGGCCCTGGGCTGCGATCGAGTGAAGGGGCCATTGTGACGCCACAGATTCCACAACGTTCAGACAGGCAATGTGCAAATGCTTTAAAAATAACTAGTAAATAAAACAATGCTCCTGAGTGGAACTCTGGGGATGGTGAGCAGGAACGCTAGGACTTCTTTGGCCGGCGGGTGCCCGAGTGGCATCGCTCTTGGCGCTGGAGGGCCACAAGGGAACAAGTCAGCAGCTGCCTGCCTGGAGTGTCTGCCTTTGGCACAAGCAGAGACTCCCAGGGGAGGACAGCAATATTGCAGAGGCGTGGGTCCTGTCCCGGATCCTGGCCTCAGGAGTGACCGCCTGAATGCCACCAGAATAGCCTTAATCTGTCTAACGAGGGAGGCGGAGTGTCCCGTCCTGTTGGTGCCAAAGAGCAGCTGCAGGAGGAGAGAAAAGGTCTCGCGTGAGTCTCACCACTTTCTCTTCTCTTTTTTTTTAATGATGCAAAGCCTCCTTGGGGTTTTTTTTAAGGAGAAAGGAGGGACGACGAAGAGGATTTTGCTTTTCTGTGCAAAGACATTTGTTCTCTGAGTTGTAACCACCGGCTCCTTGGAGTCCTTTTTAAGGAGAAAGGAGGGACGAGGAGGAGGATTTTGCTTCTCTGTGCAAAGACATTTGTTCTCTAAGTTGTAACCACCACCGCCACAAATTGGCTGCCCACAAGCGCTTTCTTTTAGTGTATGCCAAGGAGAGTCTCGAAAACTGACGTCTGAGGTGCTCCCTTGACAGGGGCAGAGACTTGATGATCTACAGGGTCCCTTCCAGCTCTACTAAGATGACGACGACGACGATGATGATTGTTGCTGGTTTTTGTGTGAGGTTCATTCATAGCAATCTTGCAGGTCACGTCCTGCTGCGTGAGGCCAGGCACCAACTCCCCTTTTTGCCCAGATGCATCCCCAAATGTCTAACTCATCCTCTGCTGGCAGATCTGAGGGTGGGCCAAAATTAATAAGATCACCTTGGAGCAATCTAAAATGAACACTTTTGAACATTTTAAAACCATCTAACCACTCAAACAAAACAGAAAGTGAGAAACAGCCTGATGGAACGCCAAGGCGTCCCCTCGGTGGGCCCAAAATATACTGAGAGACCATCAGTTCTGGACAGGGTGCCGGATGCTGGGTCTCCAAGGGGAGGTCCTTGCAAAGCCAGGGTGTTGCAGTCCAGGAGACTGGAAGACCGGGTTCCCAATGGTGGGACCCGGGAGATACCCCTCCCCCAGCAGATCTTCATGAACAAGGAGATCTCCCCCTGGAAAGGAAAGGGGAATTCCCCCCCCCCCCCCAGCGCTGAGCCAAAACCTCCAGCCTCTGGCACAGATCTTTACCCGGTGGGCACCAGCACCCCATATCTCGCCCGCTACTGGGCTGAGTCTCTGAAAGCGTATCACTAAAAGGGCAGGTCAGTGAGAGCCCCTCTGCGACTGGGCTGGACATCAGGCCGACTCGGGCACTTGAGGCGCCTGGCGCGCAGAGAGAGATGGGGAGAGGGAGCCAAGGTTTTCGGCCGCTGGGCGCTTCGTTTTCTCAACACTGCCGCAGGGTTCCCGATTCCACAGGTCGCCAACGCAGCCACCACCCCCGCCCTGTCCTCTCCCTCTGGGGTTCTTCTGCACAGCGGCCGTAACAGCCAGCTCGGGCTGCTCCCGCGAGGAGGACCCGGGCGCGGAAGGAGCCAGACCGGGGCCACCGCCCTCGCCGCCCTGCTCGCAGGGAGCGCTGTGCGGGCGCCGGGAAGAGTCACACACCGCCTCGGAGAAGGGAGAGGTGCAAGGGACCCGCACCGAGACGCCCCCGGAGCGGCCGGCACCGTCGTTTCCCGGAGCAGACGGCCACCCTCGAGGGGCGCCGGCTCTCCCGGGGGCGGCTCTGCGCGGCGGCATCGGGCGCTCGGGGCTGGGGGGGGGGGGCGCTTCCCACGCTAGACGGCGCAGCTTCGGCGCCGGCTCACGCAAGGGGCGGAAGGAGCCCAGGAGGCGCCCAAAGGCCCCACTTCGCCTCCTGCCGCCTTCGCCCCCACCCCAGAAGCGGTGTCGGGGTCTCAGGGGCGATCTTGCTCTCCAAAAACCCCCCCAACCCGTCTTCCCCGGCAGAAGCAGGCCGGCCTTGGGTCCGGGACAGCCTCTTAGCCGCGCCCCCTGCCGGGACTTCACCCGGGCCCCGCCCGATCTAGCCGGTGTGCCTTACTGTCTCCGGCCCCCCCCCGCCCGCATAGGCTGCTCTGCTGCACCGGCCCCCCTCCCCGGGGGAACGACCAACTAAAGGCGGCTCAGTCGGCCGGCGCTGTCTTCCCATCGGGAGCTGGGCGTCCCCTCGGGTGGTTCTGCGGATTTTCTTCCTCTCTCCTCCTCCTCCTCCTCCCTTCCCATCGCCCGGGTGAATTCCCCCTTCTTTGAGGATGATTTGAGGGGCCGCGCGGTCTGTCTTCTGCCCGGCGTCAGAATCTCTGCACGAGGCAGGACTCTCTCCCAAGTGTCTTTCCTCCCCCGAAAGGTTTCAGAGGGCGGCCTCTCTGTCCACCCAGGCTGGATTCCAGTCCTCAAACCACGTCCTCTCACGATTTGGGGCGCCTCCTTGGACGAGACAGATCAAGACAGCCGAGAGAGTAACTTTTATCACCTCGAAACAAGGAGGACACACAGCGTGCTGGCTAAAGGGCCGGCCACTGTCCTGACCAGCCACCTCCACGGCCCACATTAATTCCCCCCAAGGGACAGATAGCGCCTGCAGCCCAACCCCTGGTCCCTCCAAGTGGTTGGAGAGCCCTTCAGTAGCCGGCGGGAAAGCCCCCTTTCCGGGAATCCGAGGCTGCCGCCCAGCCCCCTCCCGTCCTCAGGATGGCCTGCACAACCGCCTCCCCTCGGGTCCGGAGGATCTCGTGGTTCCTTTTCTTCAGTTCATCTTCTAGTTCCTGGAGAAGGAGAAAAGGGAGGTGGCAAAGCGGCAGAGGGCCACCCTTGAGGCACCACGTTCCAGGCCCTCCATGGACCTGAATCTCCCCTGTTCTTCACAGCTGTGCTGGCTGAAGACTCCCGTTTTCTGGGTGCCGTGAATCCATTCCAGATTTACTGTGTCACTTTACAAGGGGTGCCCAAAGTGCTGCTGGATCCCTATCTCCCTATCTCGCTCCAAATCAATTCAGGACCTTGGACAACTCCCAAAGAGCAGCGCAAAGCCTGCGGTGGATTCACTGGAGCAGAGTCGTGACCAGCCTCCGTGGCTTAGCCTCCTTCCTGCACACGAAGAACGAAGGTGTGTGTGTGTGTGGGGGGGAGGTTAGGAACGAACAAATGCGTCGGGGGAGGGGGTGTTTCCAAATGAAGACCCCCAAGAAAGGCCTCACTTTCAGAGTCAAACCACATGAGAGGGTGAGCTTCTAATATAAAGCCGAGAGCATGTTTTCCCTCTAGAGACAGGCTTCCCCCAGAGCTCTACGCCTGGGCCATTGGACTGGCAAATAGAGCCTGCGTTGACCAATCACCCCACCATTTGTTAACTGAGTACATCCTGCAAAGAAGGTCCTGCCAGGAAACATGCAGGCAAGAAATGCTGTGTTGAACGAGAGCCTCCCTTTGCTCTCCCCCGTTTAAAACCCTGACCAGCAACGGACTGCCTGCAGGAGGGCCCCGGAAAGGCCAGTTGTGCCCCTCCCCCAATGGCTCCCGAGAGACAGACAGACCGAGAGACAGACAGACCTTTGCCACTGTCTCCTCCAGCTGAGTAGACGGGGGCAACAACTGGTTGTGGATGCGGGGCTCTTCCACTGCGGCCTTCAGGTCGTAGTCCAACCAAAGGGTGTTGATGATGGTCTGGGCAAGGGAAGGAGGCCAAGGGTCAGCATTCGGGGGAGCTTGGAAGGGGGCTGCGTGGAATCCCTGAAGTGAGGGGGCTGAGTGGGAAGTCAAGAGGGCAGAAGGAGACCCCAGCCTTTCAGCTGCCGGAGCAGAGCTTCCCCTAGAACTCTGGGGTTGGAAGGGGCCCCTGAGGCCATCAAGTCCAACCCCCTGCTCAGTACAGGAACCCAGACCAAAGCAGATCGGACAGAGGGTGGTCCGAGTGAATGCCTGCAGCTTTGGAGGTCATTGGGTCCATCGTCGTACTGCTCTAACAGTTAGGAAGTTTTTCCTGATGTTCAGCCTAAATCTGGCTTCTTGTAACTTGAGCCCATGTGTTTGTCAGGGTCTCTCCTCCCCCCGCCCGTTGCGCCCCCCCCCCTTCTGATGTTTCATGAGCATAAATCTGACTTCTTGTAACTTGAGCCCATGTGTTCGTCAGGGTCTCTCCTCCCCCCGCCCATTGCGCCCCCCCTTCTGATGTTTCAGGAGCCTCAGGAAAGCAGCTTCATAATGGTGCCAGCCAGGTCTCAAGACATCATTCTCTGCCCGCCCCTCCATTTTGCCTTCATAGTGACCTTGTGGGGGGCAGCTCTCAGCACACTCCATGTGACCCACCAGTGCGGTCGCCGTGGTGATCTTCGTCCCACCCGAAGCGCCGACCACCATCCGGACCTGGTTCCTCTCATCCACCAGGATCGTCGGACACATGGACGAGGTCGGCCGTTTACCTGTCAAAGAGGCAGGCAGGGTGAGCCTCCCGTGGGCTGGCCCCCTCCTTTCAAAACCACAGCACCCACCCCAGGAACACTTCTGTGGCCGTGAGGGTGTTTGCCCCCATGGGCACGTTGGCGTGGTGTGGTTTGTCCCGCTCCTCAGACCCGGCTCGTCCCGTCAGTCCTGCTCCTTTGGAGGCATGGTTGGCCGTAACCTTTTGGGCACGGGTGGAGGAGACCCAAAGGTTCGGCTGAATGCTGAAGTAGCAGGGAGAAGGCTGGAGAAGAGGGAGCCCCATCAGGAGGAGCAGGGGGGGGAAGCCTCCCCCACCTCCACTCTGACTCTCTCTCTCCTCTCTCTCATAGGCAAAGCAGCCCATTTAGCCAAGCAGACGCACAAACTTACCCGGGGCAATGAAGTTTGGAACAGAAGGGGCAACCCCAAAGCCATTGACGATGTAAGGGGAGCTGAAGTCATCCATCTCATCGTTGAAGATGATCCCACTCACGTTGGAGCGGACATCAGAGCCAAAGCTGAAGTGGACAGACGAGAGAGACAGATCAGAGTCCTACCTAGGGCAGTGCCTGCCTCGGGAGACGGGTCCCCTGGCAGAAAGCTCTCCGCTGACCAGACCGACCGGTGCCAGAGCTGCCTACAGGGGAGACCCCAGCAGCCCTCCTCCATCGCCCTGAAGATGATCCCACTCACGTTGGAGCGGACATCAGAGCCAAAGCTGAAGTGGACAGACGAGAGAGACAGATCAGAGTCCTACCTAGGGCAGTGCCTGCCTCGGGAGACGGGTCCCCTGGCAGAAAGCTCTCCGCTGACCAGACCGACCGGTGCCAGAGCTGCCTACAGGGGAGACCCCAGCAGCCCTCCTCCATCGCCCCCTTTTTCTTTTTCTTTCTTTCTTTCTTTCTTTCTTTCTTTCTTTCTTTCTTTCTTTCTTTCTTTGAGGCACATCTTGTCCACAGGGCCATAATGCACCACAGAGGCTGCCCCCCTTTCCCAGTGAGCAGTTTCTATGCTTGTGCACACACGCACACACAGAGAGAGGTCTCTGCAAAGCGAGAGAGTGTGTGTTTGCATGCATGCCCAGCACACTCCTTTGTGCCATCTGTGGCTCTTGGCCACCAGAAAGAAGGCTTGGAAGCCCCTTAGCCATCTATTTATCTTTAGAAGGGAAACTGCTCAACTGCGGGCGGGGGGGGGCAGGCTCCTTTGCCTGACAAGTGCCGCCCGCCCGCCTGCCCATCCATCGGCCTGCCCACCGCTACTGGGCAAAGAGAAGGGAGGGGGAAATGCCTTCCTTTCACCCTCACGGGCTGAAGGCCGCTTGAGGGAACTGAAAGAGCCCCGAGTGAGAAAGAGCCTGGAGGGTTTCCCCATTTGTTGGGCGGCTTAAGAGGCTCTTTTTAAAAAAATCCCTCCCAGGGTCTGTAAATGGTTACGAACGGAAGCTACGGAAGCTCGATGCTGCCACCGCGTGGCAAATGCTGTTTTTGCAACTTGTAAAAGGCCATTTCTTTCCCTGATCTTTGAGTCAACCCATCGTGTTTTTGGGGGGTGGGGGTGGGGGTGGGGGTGGGCAAAGCCACCTGGGACCTTGGGTGGGGCCCCTTGCCTCCCCTTGGTGCCCACTTGGGCCACGCCAGCCACGCTCAGCAGAGCCCCGGCCCGCACAGAAAGAAGGTCTGCGCCCCTACTATTGGTTGATGGTGCTGGTAGCAGAGACGGCGCTGCCATCCTCAGCCACAACAGAGACGTGAGAGGTACCCGCAGTGTCCGGCGTGTAGTACTCGGGCTCGTAGTATTCAATGGCGTGAGTGGTGTCCGTGATTTTGGCCCGCAGACCCTCCGCAAAGTACTCGGACGTCATGTTCCGGATGACCTGGACGAAAGGGGAGGCTGGTGGCGATGGGGGCCCTCGGAGAAGCCCAGCAAGGGGGAGAGTCACCCGACCCGCAGGCTGGGCCCACGTTCTTAAAGCCACGGGGGAAACGGCTTCTTAGGCCACAGAAGAGGAACGTCTTAAGAGTGCGCCACTCGGCGGGATTCAGGGACGAACCCCCACCCTCAGGAGTTGCCCGGCTGTGCCATCAGCCCAACGGTAGCCGGGCGTCTCTGGGGGCCTCGGAGGCAGGAGGTCCTCCTACCGGAGAGGAGCAAGCTTTGCTAGGAAGGCTTGGCCTGGCTTTCATCAGCCCTTCTCAGCTGCCCTGTACCACACCTCTGGCCCCTGCCCCATAAGCAGAGGGAAGGGGGGGAGAGGGGGCAGGGGGCAGGAGAGCCACGCTCGTTCCCCGTGGCGAGGCCTGCAGGGGGTCTTGGCCGGGAAAGAAGCTTCTTCCATCCGTGGCAGGCTAGTGGACATCACTTGCCTCGGTGACGTTGATGAAGGTGGGGTCCCCGAGCAGGGTCCTCTTGGCGTAGGCGAAGCGGAAGGCTTCCAAGATGCGGTGGTAAGTCAAGCCCTTTTCTTCCAGAGTCACCACATTCTTCGGGGAGAAATGGTACCCTGTGCGGGCAAGGGCTGGGCGTCAGACATACACATGCAGGGGCTCCTCCCTTGGCCCGAGCCAGAAGGGGGAAGGTGGGCTGTGGAATCCAACCCGGGGCCAATGGTTGGGGGAGGGCGAGATTTGTAGGTTCTTTAAAAGGAGAGGGAGGGAGGCCCTTCCCTGCTCAGCAGCCGAGGGAGACACACCGGGCAGGGCAGGGCAGGGCAGGGCAGGGCAGGGCAGGGCAGGGCAGGGCAGGGCAGGGGCCTACCTTTCAGGATGTTGAGGATGAGCGCCAGCACAGGACCGCTCAAGGGGGCGCCCGGGGTGTACATGGTGAACGGCCCCATGGGCACCTTCAAGGGGTTTTCCTCCAGAATGGGCTGGTAGTCCCTCAGGTCCTCCAGGGTGAGAATGCCTCCTAGAACGGCGGCGCCAAGGAGGGAAGAGCTACAACGAGCCTGTTTAGCACAACCCACACCCTTGCTCGCGAGGAGGCCCCTGCCCATCTGTTGGGGGGCCACAAAGACCCACGGCTTTGGTTTTTCATTGATAGTCACTGATTGAAAAACCAGCAAACCTCACCAGGGAAGAGTGGGAGCCTTCAGCCGAGCCCCGTCTGCCTGCGCACCTAGGGATCAAAAAGAGAACCCACAGGAACCCCCCCAAAGATCCCCCTCCACCAATCCCCCCCCCAAAAAAGGGGGCCTCCTCTCTCACCTGCTCCCTGGACGTCCCTGACAATCTGCTGGGCTAATCGCCCGGTATAAAAGGCATCCGGCCCCTCGTTGGCCAGAATCTCGTAGGTGTCGGCCAGCGTGGGCAGGGCGAGGGTCTCGTTCTCCTGGAGGACTTTCCCTTCTTTGCAGAAGACTTCGCTGGGGAGGGAAGAGACCAGGAGAGAGAAGTCAACCTGGGGAGTCTGTCAAGTTTCCTTGGGGACCCCCTTCGGTTCTGGACGTGACCAGGGGTTGTGTGTACCTGGGGGGGGTACACGGATGGACTGGGGGTCCCTTTCTGGTGGATTTGTTAACCCAGAGTGGATTCTATGGAGTGAAGGGCCCTCCCCTCTTGCCTTGACCAAATCTGCCTCGGAGAGAGCACAACAGAAATTACGATCTCGCCATCTGGAGGCACTTAAATAATGCTACATCTTTTATGATTTCTCAAGGAACATGAAATGTCTGTCTGTCTGTCTGTCTGTCTGTCTGTCTGTCTGTCTATCTATCTCTCTCTCTCTCTATCTATCTATCTATCTATCTGTACCAGTTGAGAACGTTTACCTTGGAGGGACTACAATGATCATGCTAGCAGAAGAATTCCTGGAAATATAGACCAGAAAAGTAACTTATCCAGGCCCTGAAATCTGTAGGTAGTACCTGAAAAGGAGTGGCCCATCCCCATGAAGAAAGGACATCTTGGTGCCCCAAATGGCCTCTTGAGTCAGGCACCTCCAAAAGGCTCCCGTCACCCCGCCAAACACAGAGGACCCCTCCACCTCACCTCACCCCAGAGCCACGTCACCTGGGACCAGGGTTTGGAAAACGGTCCACCCACCCATGCCAGGACCAGATCTAAAAGCAGCCCGAGCTTATGTTACAGATTATGTGCCACTAAAAGAGGGGATTCTTTGAGTGCTAACACTGTGTGATTGTCCGTGCAGGAGCTCCTCCCAAACCCGTAGTTTGCAAAGGTGCTTGCTCTGCTTTGTGGCGGGTCTTCTGTGTTGAAGCTGAGACTGTACGTGCCAGTAAATGAAAAAGGGGTGGACTATCTGAGGAACTTGAAGCTATTCTCCTCCACAGATCTCTGTACTTCTAACAGGGTACAAAAAGGGAAATTTAACCAGAAATTGAGAACTTTGCAACATTCTGGGGGTAATCTCACACTTTGTTTGAAGACGTGAAGGTCTGCCCCAGCAACATCTGTTGGCATTAATGCAGTTTCAGCCTTAATGAGAGGTCCTTTGTGAGGCAGATTTAGCTCCCAAGACTTGCCTTGAGATACATCAGCTTTAAGAAGCCGTGCAGCATATGGGGAGGAAGAGGCGTCTGCACCTCCTAGTTAGGTGGAACTTGAATATGGGTGCCTTCGGTCTCCTCGTGACCTGAGGCGCCCCTCCCCCCCCCGGCTGCAGCTTTCTTAGCCGACCCTTGAACCTGACCTGGATTGCCCCTCCTGGCCCCACAGAGGCTGGCCACTTTTCCACCCAGCACTCCAGGGGCTTCCACACCCTTCCAGGGCCACCCACCAGCCACCCCCACCCCGATTCACCTACCACAAGGACGGGTTGCTCTCGATGTCTGCTTTCTTGCTCTCCAGGGCGCGGGCCAGTCCCTTCCCGACTGGGAACCCCTCCCTTGCCAGTCGGATACTGGCCAAAAAGAGGTCCTTCCAGGGCAGCTGGCCGTGACGCCGGTGCGCCATTTCGTAGCCCCGGATTTCTCCTGGAACTGCAATGGACAAACCCCCTGGAGCGGACAGAGAACGAGCGGGTCAGCGCTGCCGAAGGATCGTCAGGGGGCGGGAAAGGCCCCTGGCCTAAAAAAAATGCCCCACAACGAAGGGCCTGCCAGGACTCTGCTTCACACCCCACTGAGACATGAGTGGGATGCGGAGGGTGGCTGTCGTGGGTCCCACGAGGCCAGCTGGAGGGCCGGTGAAGCCAGGCAGGGCCTTCTTTGTGGTGGCCTCTATGCCGAGAGAATCCCTCCCTCCAGAAGGGGCCACGGACACTCAGAAACCTGGCCAAGACCTTCCTTTATGGCAGGGCTCATGGGGAGGAGGGAGCCTGAGGACTCTCCCGGCGACACCCCTGGCAGGTAGTCCTCTAAACCCAAGAGACTCAAAGCAGAACCCTCCAGATGTTGTTGGACTGCAGCCCCTCCACCATCTCCCCCCCCACGCACAACGGGCTGCACTGGCTAGGGATGAGGGCAACCACACCCCACATCGGGAGCACTGCTTTTTTTACAGACCCTTCGAGATGGCGTTTGCTTTTGTTTTGCATGATTGGTACGAAAGTGTCTCCCTGCCAAAATGCAAATCCCTTTCCAAAAGTGACACTGAGCATCCTCAGCTCTTCACCTGAGGGACGCCCTTCACCTGCCTGCCTCCTCACCTTTCAGGGACCGCTTCGTGTCGTTCCCGAACATGTCCTGGGAGGCGTTCTTTGGTGCCACCTCCCTGGCGTTGATGACTTCCACTTTCCCTGCCAAGAAACCCAAGGGGTAAAAATGTATGTGTGTGTGTGGGGGGGTGGAAGCCACTGGGGCTGACATCATCATCATCATCATCATCATGAGCCATCAGCCACCTGGGGCTTCCACACAGCCATTCGGAGCAAGGCAGGGTTAGCTCCTGCTGGGGCCTTTCCTGCCTCTCATCTTCCCCTTGCTTTCTCGGGGGCAGAAAGAATGCACTGTTTGTGGGAGAAGGACCCACATCATCGCGTTGTTCAGGTGCCGCTTTTTGCACAAGGGGGGGTGCTGGCCGAGCCCTCTGCCCCCCGGCCCACCCACAAGGGGGGCTTCTTTAC